TGAAAAGCTGATTGATAGTTGGAAACAAAACTCTACAACAAGAAACAGGATGTATGCTTTCTATTTATACATCATTTTCCCTTCACTTTAGAGCCCTTTTTGGACTTTGTTTTGGCTATTTCATAAAGCCTTGGATCCCTCCCCCACTTCTTTTAACTCATTCACCAAAATATAAAATAATTGAGGAAGTTGTGTATTAGCCTAGCGATGGTCAAGGCGTGTACTTCCAGCTGTTACTATTAGTCACTGATCGTAGTTGTATTTGCTACAACTTGTCAGAGAGCATTTTTAATTAAAAAAAAAATCCTCCAAATAGGAGATTATTTCACATATACAAACAGAATGAAAGCTTTTTAAAAAGCTACGTGGTAGGATTACATTTCCAAAAACTGTCTAAGGAAAACCTATTTTGAGTATAGTTGTGTTAAAATATGGCATTACCATTATCCAGTTGTCATGGCTCTTAAATAATGAATCTCTTCATTCCTTAATAAATACATTCTTAATAAGTAGGCGCTCTTCATTTCAATATAAAATGTGTACCGTAAGTACAACTGGTAACTCAGTATATTCATTGCTTGGATCAGAATGTACCTGGTTTTTGTAAGCATTCTGGTTAACTAATAATAATGTCACTCGGCAAAGCTTTCTGACATGAACTAGCTGGTCTGTTTTGACTGTGACGGTGAAAAACCACTAACTACATTAAATGAGGTGCTCTCTGAAATGGAAAGCGCCGTTGCAGAGTTAGGTTCTAGAATATAAGAGTGGCAGATTTAGAACCAACTCTAATTTTACCCGTGGTTGAAAGAACAAAAAGGCTACTCTTTCTCGGCCTTATTTTTTTTTCTTTAAACAGATAGTTTCTTTTATTGTAAACAGTGATTGCTAAGTTATCTGCATAAAATAATTTAATAGAAACAAACCCAACTTTAATTCTTTGGACTGTTGGGTCACATTCTCCGTCAATGATGTTTTGAAATTTTTAATTCCTTTTTATTCTCGCATTCTTTAAGTGGAGAATTCAGAATGCTTCCTCTATAAACTTAAGGTTTCTCTCAGAACTTTAGTATTAATTTAGGAAAGTAGCCAGCTTGAGGTAGTAAAAGTGGGATTAATAAGAAACAGAGATGGGTCAGCACTGTGAAGAAGCAAAAATGAACATAGGATTCATTTTTTACATATTTTATATAAATGGGTCACTTTAAATGAATGCAGTACTTAAAGTGAGAAACAAACTGAAGGGTAAAAATTCACATCACCTGGTAACAGGCACAAGTCCTGTTGGGGGTCATATGGCTCATCTGGGCCACTTTCCTGCCTCTTAGAGTAGATCCTTTATAGTCTCACAGTGTGTGGGGTTACACTGTGTCTGAAAAGAGCCAGGATTAGGGGTGAGGGACTTTGAAATTCCAAATTTGTTCTGTTACACATGACACAGATAGTGGACAATAACAAAGATCCAGATGGTTTCAACCTGAGAGTTCACCATATCCTCACAAATAATTCAGATGTTTTGCTTCAATTTTAAACCTCTGTAGTTAAGGCTTAGTTAGATGTATACTTCGTTTAAGACTGCTAAGCTAAAGAGATCACTGTTTGCAGCCTTCTTTGCCTATGCCTGTCAGAACTTGCTCATTTGGAAGATGTTGAATTGAGCTTCACCTGGGGAGAAGGGAAGAATGTGGTCATAGGACGGGAGACTTTTCAGAGCCTGGATAATTTGTGGGAGGCCCGGTAGTGGAGGAGGAAGCCTACTAGAGCTCTGCAGCATGGTTTTCCAGTCTTGACTGCCCCTTTCAGCTGGGGAAACTGCAGCAGGTCTCTTAACCCTCTAGGCTTCTGTTTTGTCATCGATAATGTGGACAAAAATGCAACTGACCCATGAAGTTGTCACTTGGAACGAGTGTCGGGATGTGTGTGGAACATTGTCTTTCATATACTGTCGATGGTATATGTCATGGCTAATCAGAGTGTGAAATGTATGGTGACTGAAGGAAGAGCTTTGATTTTAAAATCTTTTTTTTTTTTTTTTTTTAATGTCTATCCTTGAGAGAGAATGTGTGAGCGGGAAAAGGGCAGAGAGGGGGAAAGAGGATCGAAAGCCAGCCCTGACTCTGGGGATCAAACCCATGAACTGTGAGATCCTGACCTCAGCCGAAATCAAGAGCCAGACACTCAACCGACTGAGCCACCCAAGTGCCCCTGTTATTTTTTTAAAGTTGATTGATTGATTCATTGACTGAGCGAGTGAGATAGAAGCAGAGAGAGGTAGGGAGAGAGAATCCCAAGCACGTTCCAGGCTGTCAGCATGGAGCCCAGTGCGGGGTTGAACTCATGAACCGTGAGGTCATGACCTGAGCTGAAGTTGGATGCTCACCGACTGAGCCACCCGGGCACCCCCAAATTTTATTTCTAATATTATAATTTAGTAAGAGGCATTGTCTTCTTTCCTAGATTCCTTGCTCTTTACCTCTCACAGGTGCACATCACTACCCAGAGAGGGCCCACTTCAGTGAGAAAGATGGCCATGAACTAGCTTCTAGGCTGACAGGGCCTTGGGGCAAAGATATTGCAAACTGGTCCACTAATTCAGACCAAATTCTTTACTACTGGCAGTCAGGGTTTCAGCATATATGGTTTGTGGATGTCATCTACAACTGTCTTGGACATGGATGTACATTACATCGCGACCATGTGATTCCATAACTGTGCTTTTAGAGATGTCTTAAAGTGATGAGAGTTCATCCAGAGTTTGTAGACCATTGGTGAATCATAAGCTGACTTCAGCTGATCCCATCCTAATTTTCTTCTTTACCCTACCCGCCGTTCTTTTTCTAAGCTCTGGGAATCCCAGCACTGAAACTCAGGGGTTTCCTCACATAAGAGGAAGTTGCCCTCAGTGATGGCTGTTGCCCTTGGCCATTCACCTAGCAGTACCTCAGCACCCACCCTGGGACACTGCAGTGGGGCTTCTGGGACCTGACTGCGCTCATGGAGGGCAGCCGGGGCACAGAGCATCCCTGCACAAAGTCATTATTACACTAAATATTCTGAGATCAAAGGGTCTCAGATATACCTGGGCACTTAGGTGAAAAACACCACCTTTGTTCACTAGTTCCCATTGCCCCACCAGTCACTTCTGCTCCAGTGAAACAAAGCCCCATTTTCTTGATATTATGGGATGGTCTACACTTTTACAAGTGAATTTATCTTGTGAACTCACCGTCATCCAGTTTGTCTCAAAGCCACTAAATGTTTTGTACACTCATTTCAGCTTCGGAGTTAGAGAAACGTAGAAGCCAAGGTCAGCGTGCTGATCATTTTCACGTGCTCACTGCCGCCCTTTTCAGTTGTCACTTCAGATTTTCCTCTAGGGAGGAGTAAAGCCATGAGTTTTGGACACCTGCAGTATGCTTTTTTTTGCTTCTTTCAAAACAAAGGAAAAGTATGAATGCCTCTAAGTTTAATAAAAAAAAGTTTGGTATAATGTAATGTTACAAATTGAAAATTATCCTCTGAAATAACATGGCATGATTTTCTGATAAAAATATAAAGGGGGTGCCTGGGTGGCTCAGTCAGTTGCACATCGACTTGGGCTCAGGTCATGATCTCACAGTTCATGAGTTTGAGTGCCATATCTCTCCACTGTCAGCACAGAGCCTGCTTCAGATCCTCTGTCCCCCTTCTTTCTGCCCCTTCCCCGCCTATGTGCGCTTTCTAAAAATTAATAAACATTAAAAAAAAAAGTAAAAAGCACGTCACGCTGCTCTCTATAGTATTGCTTTTTTCTCTTTTGTATACTTAAAATTTTTGAATAGGTGTTACGCTTGCAGAGTTTAAAAGTAAACAATTGCAGTGAAAAGCCTCCCTCTTATCATCCTCCTCTACCTTTCCAGTCCCCACCAGACCCCCCCACATAAGCTAGTGTTTTCTGCAGCTTTCCAGAGTTTATTGATAAGTATACAAGCAAACAGAAGGGTGTTTTTATTTCTTTCCCCGTGTTTAACATAAAAGGTAGCCTCCACATAACGGTGTGCTGTTTGTTGTTGCTGTTACACAGTGTAACCTGGGTTAGCCCATAGAGCGCTTTGTTCCATACGCAGCCATAGACTCTTCCTTTGCATGGATATTCCATAAGGTAGTTAACCAGTCCTGCGGTCGCGGGCACTTGGTTATTTACCATTTTGGGGTATTGAAAACAATGGCAGTGAATACCCTGGGCCTCTGTCCTGTAGCATGTGCGTTTAATTTCCAGATGTGGTATTGCTCGGCCAAGGGTGTGTACATTTTCAAGTTGGGAAGTTATCGCCACCTTTTCCACAGGGGCCGTACCTGTTTAATTTGTCGCCAGTGGTGTGGGGAGGGGTCTTTCCCCCAAGCCTCTCGAGTGTTATCACGTTTGGATGTTTGCCATTGTGATAAATGAGAAATGTATCTCACTGTGACTTTAGTTTGGGTCTCTTATTTGACTGGAGTTGAACATCTTTTCATACGTTTAAGAGGCATTTATATCTCCTTTTGTGAGAATTGTTGCTTATGTCTTTTGTCCATTTTTCTGATGAATTGTTATGTCCATTTTTAAGAACCGTGTGAGGGGAATTAGGCCTTGCTTTGTGACATGAGTTGCTAGTATTTTTCTCAATTTTGTATTAGCCTATTGACTTTGTTTATGATGTTTTGTTTTTTGGTTTTTGTCCTATAGGTTTTTTTAAATTGACTTTATCAGTCTTTTGTGGCTTCTGGATTTTAAGTCATAGATAGAAAGGGCTTCCTCATCCTAGGGTTATAAAGGGAATCTCCTGCATTTCCTTGTAATACCTCACCACTTCATTTTCTTTTACGTTTCTCTGATCTGTTTTGGGATTTATCTTGGTGTGTCACGTGAAGTATGGACCCATCTTTATTTTCTTACTTCTTTAAGCTATATAAAGAAGCTGTTTCGTTCTCAGGCCAATTAATGAATTGTCCTAATATTTCTTCTTCAAATGGCTTTCAAGGTCCAATAAGTTGGCAGCTCTTGCAGAAACCTTAAAGGAAGTGTCCCTGACAAAGGCCCAGCTGGGATTAGAACTGGAAGAACTGGAGGCCGCAGCACTTCTTGTCCAGGAGGAAGACACTGCATCAAGAGCAGGCCGTCCTGTTTCCAGGCAGCAGACACCTGCCTGCCCTCCTGAGGCAGGGGACACGGAGGAGTCAGACAGCACCACCTCACGTGAGACCGAAGGCTCGGACTCTGAACAAGGGGAGCTCTCAGGTGGTGAGTCTGAGACAGTGCATTCCTGGCAGGGTCCCTTTCTCAAGGAACGCGGCGACCTGCTAATTGATGACGGGGTGTGCAGAAACTCAGCCGTCGAGAGATGTGGTGGTAGTCCGAGAAAGCCACCCGCCTCCCCCCGGGCTCCTGGAGGCTCTGGGCCGCTGATAGAGGAGCTTGGAGAGCAACTGAACTCGAGAGTTCAAGTGTCCGGACCTGAGGACTCCGCGGCTGCAAGCCACAGCAGCGTGCAGGGCAGAGGCGACTGGCAGACACCAAGTGATTGACTCTGCGTGGTTTTCCTCACTGCCGAGAATTATGGCGGGTTTGGTTTCCTTTACAGAACGAGAATCCACTTCCACTTGGTCCTTTTTCTTAGTGTATGCAACACTTTTCCACGGAGCTTATGTTGATACCTGTTGGTTTCCTTGTCACAATCTTAAAAATAACGTTTTAAAGTATTTTCACCAAAGTATAATTAATATTGAAGACGAAATAACAGTTCTGGCAGAATCTCTAGAAGGTAGAGCCCATGAATATATTTATCTTAAAGATTTTATTTTTAAGTAAGCTCTATAACCAACGTGGGGCTTGAACTCGCAACCCTGAGATCGAGTGTCACACGCTCTACTTGCTCAGACACTGTACATTAAGTATGCATCTCCTAGGATTTAATATAAATGGAATCATGTAATATGTACTCTTTTATAAATTAGGCTCATTTCACTCACTGTAATTATTTTCAGATTCATCAATGTAGCCTGTATTGAGAGGGCTTTTTTGGTTTTTGTTTTTTCCCTGTATCAGAGTAGTAGTTCATTGGATAGATTTTTCCATTCACCTACTGATGGACGTTTGGGTTGTTTCCAGCTTTCGGCTGTTCCAAATAAAGCTGTTACGAACATTTGTGTGCTAGTCTTTGTGCGGACATATGCTTGCATTTCTCTTAGGTAAATATCCAGTAGTGGGATGGCTGAGCCGTATGGTAGGTGGATGTGTAACAGTTCGAGAAACTGCCAAACTGTGTCCCAACATGGCTGTCCCAGTTCACGTTTCCACCAGTTCCAGGTCTTTCGCATTCTTGTCATCACCGGGTATGATCTGGCTTTAACATTTTTACTGTTTTATTAGGTGTGAGGTGGTATCTCCCTGTGCTTTTAGCTTGCATTTTTTAAGGCTTCTATTGCTGTGCGTCTTTTCATATGCTTATTTGTCATCCACAAATCCTTGGTGAAGTGTCTTTTCAAATCTCTTGCCTTTTTTTTTCTTTTTAAAGCTGGGTTGCTTGTTTTCTTATTTTTGAGCTTTGAGAGTTCTTTATAAATTCTGGATACAAGTCCTCATTATGAGTCATCTTTGCATGCCTTGTAATCTTCGACTGAGTGCCAAACGTTATAAATTTTACCTGGCTGAATATGTATGTATTCTTACGTTCTGTGGCTTTGTTTGGGGATGCAGTTAAGTTACTTGGAAATAGTGTGATCTTTGTGGGTCTTGCTCATGTCATTTGTTAGGCAGGTCTGGAACAGTGTTCAGCCTAGGACAAACTATTTCCTGGTACTAAGGAAAGATTTTCCCATTGCCCTGTGAATTACAAATTTTCCAGTCTAGCGGGTGGAAATAGGCCCCTGTATGCGTGCTGAGCACGGTTCCCTCTAATACTTTCAGATGCTGCCTTCCCACGATTCCACACTCTTAGCAGTAGGTACTCGCATGAATATCAGAGGGGCCCCTCTCCAGGTATCTGGGCTTCTCTGCGGCTCTCTCCTCTCTGGTACTCTGTCCTGCAAACGCTGGCTGCCTCAGTGTCCCCTCACCCTCAGCTCTGTCTCCTGAACTCCAGGGTCCCCTGGGGACTGCCTACATTGTCCCTCCCTGTGCAGCCTGGACAGTGTCTCAGGTCAGGTGATGATGCGGCTCACTGTATTCGTTTCCCGTCCCTCAGGATCACAGGCTTTCATTGCCTGCCGTCCAGTGTCTTGAAAACCATGGTTACGTGTATTATCCTGTTTTTCTTTTTTGGTTATGTTGGGTGGGAGAGTAAATCTGGTCTTTATTACTCCATCTTGATTGGAAGCGTAAGTCTCCATTCATATTTTAAATGTGAATTTTCCCACTTGAGGGTAAGCTCCCAGGGAGCAGGTTCTCTGCCGTGTCTGGTTACCACTGAATCATCAGTGCCTGTATTCTCAGCGCTCCATAAATATTGGCTGGATGAATGAATAAATGAAATAAACCAATTTGCTCTAGGGAGGAAATGAAATGAAATCTGATATGTATTAATCTCAGCATTTTTATTTCAAGAAAGGGTATGCTCCCTTTTACTCTGGGTTTATATAGGTTGTGAGTATTTGTATTTCCAATATAAATTTCAGTTTGTATTAACAGGATAGTTGGGGTGACTTTGCCATTCGACACGCATGTTAACTCCTGAACACTATAACAGCTTTGTCAGAATGTGTTCAAGACTTTTTTCAGGCTCCCTGGAGAGCTTCAAAATGCCTATGACCATTGAAAACGCATTTCTTCTCAGTGGCACATTACCTGAAGCCAGTTTGAAGATGCATTATCTGTTACTCCCCTCATTTACTTCTACTAATGTCAAGTTGAGCAGATCCACTCTTGTCAAAAAGTTTAAAGCCATGGAAGTTCTTCCTTCTATCAACTCTGCCCTTAACTTAGGAATCTGCACAGGATCTACTTCTGTGTGAGACTCGCCATGGGTGGAAAAGCCTGTTACCCCCCCAAAAGAATGAGCAAACATGATCCATCCTAGAAATCCTCAGAACAGAGGAGCTCATTAAACAACTCTCATGAGTATCAAAGACCACATGAGTGGGTGCCTTAATTGTCGACTCCAAACCTGTAGTGTTTCTTTCACCTGCCCTCTCTTTGTTCACAGAGGGTTAAAGCTTTGTTATATCACATTACCCTGTCTTTGTTTAAGATGAGTTAAGAACACTACACCATGTCTGTAACCCAAAACAAGTCCAAAGGTGCTGCCTCTTATTTCATTTTTTTAAACTAGACAACCTGCCAAGCAACTCTAGGGATCTCCTGTAACCGTAGGAGTTTCCCAAGAACCCTGGGTGATGGGAGAAAAAAATATGTTGGGGAAAGAACAGAAGGGGACCTCAGTGACAGTCACGGGTCAGCAGAAGAACTAAGGCTTTGGGGTTGATGAGACAAAGAAGTGAGTTCCAGAGCTAGAGCTCAGGTGTTGACCAGCCCCCAAGGGGGTACCCCAACCTCTGAACCTCCTTTTTCCTTTTGAAAATGGGGATAAAACTTTTTTCTTGCTTATCTTAAAGGGTGATGAGACTGTATGTTCAAAACACTTTTATGAACTGGAAAGTATCAAACCAACATCAGGGTTGGTTATTATTCTCGGACTTCCCAGAGCTGAACAGGGCTCTCTGTTCAGCTACCTGACAACAGGTCACTGGGGGAGCCGGCACTGTGAAAATGAGTCAGCCCTGCTAATCGCTTCAGAGGCATGCCAATGGTAAAAGTCTACACAGTTCAGCAGATTAGATAGAAATATTAATTATGTCAATGAATCACGGCACTGCCTCATCTTCTGGGTTCGCATTATCATTGACCTATTTTTCTGTGTTCTGTCTCTCCTCTGCCATTATCCTTGAAGAATAATCCGAGGCCTTGCTGTGGGCATGATGGGTTTTAGGTGCCAGTAACTATGCTGATATCATCTTTCACTGGCACAGGATTAATTTACAAATGAGACAGGGCTGCTCCCTACCACTTTCTGAGTTAGCTGAACAGCTGTGGGGCGGTTTTCACACCTGCTAGTGGAAAATCCACTTTGGTTGTATGGATCAAATTCTATTACGAAGAACTGGGGGAAGGAGAGAGAGGGTTAAGTTTTCTTTGTTGTGAGACTTCATAAAAAAACTTTTTATATCAGAGGGGCTCCTAGATATCTATTTTTTTATTGAAATTTTTGTAATGTTTAATTTTTGAGAGAGAGACACAGAGCATGAGCGAGGGAGGGGCGAAGAGAGAGGGAGACACTGAATCTGAACCAGGCTCCAGGCTCTGAGCTGTCAGCACAGACCCTGATGCGGGGCTCGAACCCACAAATCGCGAGAGCGTGACCTGAGCTGAAGTGGGAAGCTTAACTGACTGAGCTACCCAGGCGCCCCCTGGATATGTATTTTAATACAAAGATTTTTATTATTTTACATCTTGTAACTAAAAATTGACCCATGTAGTCAATGATGACAAAAAAAAAAAAATAGGAGTTAAAGACCATAGAGGGATAAAACCTTACTCAGATGTATACTTAACCTTCATAATGTATATAAAATATTTGAAGATGCAAAAGTCTCCTCGTATAGACTGATCCGTCATGAAATGACATTGCATGTCAGGTACATTGAAGTTAAACTTCATAAACAAATCTCTGTATCTGTTTGGTCAGGCATCTCCATTAAAGTGAATCAAACTCTACAAATGTTTCCTTAACATCATTCCATCTAAATCCCCGACGGAGTTTTTGTTTGTGATCTGTTCCCTTTCCCGGCCGTTTTCTGAGCGTGTTATATATAGTTTCAATCCATACCAAATGAAGGAAGCATTGATTAGACTTGATTTAAGGCAGCAAGTGATAAATGCAGCTGGAAATTGATTCATGCCTCTCAAGTGACTGGGGCACAGCCATCCACAGTTGACACAACTCTTGTGTCAAGGCTGGAGAAAACAAACAGGGAAACACATGTCAGACAGATAAATGACTTCGCTGTTTTGAGCTCTCCGTGGAGGCCATTTGTTTCCTAGATAAGGAAGACTGCTCTCCAAAGTCATGAAAAGATAAGCAAGAGGAAAAGGATGAATGTGGAGCTGGATGCCTAAGCCCTTGGGGAAAAACGAACAGAAAGGATTTACCTCTGGGAAGTCTTGCCACAAGGCTGTACCCGGTGGTACTCTGCTTTTCTCCAGGGGCGCTGCAGGCAGCGATTTTACTGTGCAAGCCTCCGCTGTCCAGCTAGGCCCGCGTGCTGGAGGCTGTGTCTCCGGGATTTTAAGGGATGGCAGTGGTATGCCCTTGTCTCGTAAGTTCTTTCCAGGGAGACCTTTCCCACCTTCTCTCCTTGGGCTGAGCATTCAGGGGAAGAAGCAGCAGGAATGGCCGAGTGACTTGAGAGCCCAGCTCACGGGCCTCCAGCCTGAAGTTCCAGCAGTTTGACGACGGGTCCAGGACCCCTCTGAACACAGTAGCCCTCTTGCAACCGAGTGCCTCGCATCGAGCTTCTTCCACAGTATATAGTAAATATTTACTGTATTTATGCTTTGTGTTTTCCCACCTTGACATGTTTGCTCATGCATCGCTTTCTCTTCTCCCTGTCAGTTTGCATAGCTTGACATCTCATAGCCTTCAAGGCCCCATTCAAATGCCGCCGCCTCCAGGAGGTCACCCTTCCTTCTTCTTGGCTGGAAATTATTTCCCCTCCTCTGAACTGCCACTCAGTCAGGGCCAGGTCCTGCCAGAAGAGCCTTGAATCCAGGGAAAGCTAAAGGGATCAGCTTGGGGAAGTGGGATTCCTGCGAGGCTGTGCCCCAGAGCAGTGGGTTCCAGGTTCTTCAGACTTCTATAAAATTAAAATTAGGAAAAACAAACCACGGTAGCATGTAGAGGGGCTGCTGATGTAGAGCTGCCAACATTTTATTTTGCATATTCATTTGGCCCATGAACAACACAGAGGTCAGATGTGCTGACCCCTCATGCAGCTGAAAATCCACATAGAACTTTTGACTCCCCCAGACTTAACTATTAGCCTACTGTTGTTGTTCACCAGAAGCCTTACCAATAACGTAGTTAGCTAACACATATTTTCTGTTACATGTGTTATCTAATGTATTCTTACGATAAAGTAAGCTAGAGAAAA